TTTCACAAAATGAACAGTGTCTAAAAATCTTTCAAATGTAAAAATGGTCATACATTATTATTCAGTGGATGATAAAAATTCACCTTCTTCACTTCTCATGTAAAAAGTTGAGGGGAAATGGAGGAGGAAAAAAAAAAAAAAAAACCCAATAGGTTTACTGGATTTAATTAGGAAATCTTGGCAGAGTGATGGCGTCACCCTCTGTTGGACATGAAGACACCTCATGCTGCTCTCATAAAGCTGCTCCGGCGTTTCCACTCCAACGCAATTGTTCTGCTCTTACGTGCTCGCACAAAGAATTCACTGTTCGGAGCGTGTGCCCCTCTGAAGTCAACACCAGCTGAGCTATGACTGAACATGTGGATCGCAGCCAGGGAAAGTGAGTGTGTATCTGTGTGTGTGTGGATTTGAGTTGGGCAGGTTTGTCTGTACGTGAGGCGGCAGTGTGAACTGTGGCGTTGCACACGGGAGGGTGAGGAGGCCGGGGCAGCAGCTGGTTAAAATTTGGGGTCAGCGCTGCGGCGCTTGAGCTTCTCTGGGTTGTTGGAGGCCATGTGAGAAAAGTCCCTGAAGATGTCCTGGTACGTTTCATCACCTGGGAGAGATCACAGAGGACAACATGAGCCGTAAAACCTCACGTTGTTTAAAGATTATCAAACATGCATTGACATCTTTACTTGCTTTTTAATTCTTGGTTTATTGTCCCATTCTTTCCGAGCACATAATGAGACACATGTGCGTTTGAAGCATAACATCTGTCCTTAAACGCTACATCATGCTGAAGGGGACATATTTAGTTTTAATGACTTTCAACTCCACCAGCTATTTCCTGAGTTTTAGCCCGACAGCAGGAAGCATGCAGCTGAACAAACAAAACACACATTAGGGCATGCACGTGCACTGTACCTCTTAGTGTTCAGTAGGTGGCACACTTAACAAGCAGTTGACGGCCGGACGTCTCAGCGGGCAGAGGGCAAAAGGCACACGAGTGCGTTCGACAAGGACACAAACATAACGACAAAGCACAGCACATCAGATACTGACCAGCAGTTGTTTCAAGCAGACACAAGCCTCACATTTCCATTCCTTCATGAGAGAAAGACCGAAAACAGGGATTCGAAAAGGCCGTGAAGTCGACTTGATCATGAAAGAATGGACTCTGCAGCTTGAAAAGGAGCCAAATGACAAAATGCAAACACAACCCACTGTGAACCTGAAGCTCGGAGGCCACAGCACAGAGCTCGCTCTGGCACCATGAAATTCTGATAAATACAGAACACATTCATAAAACTATAAAAGCTCAAACTGCATCACTATTCATAGAATAGTCTTTGAGAACCAAACCCAACTGAATTTATCTTCACTGGGCTGAAAATAACGGTCGACATTTTATAAAAAAAACATCTGATAGAGTCTGCACATATAAAAATATCCCAAATACACATATATGATAAAAACAGACCTGATATAGGCCCATTATACACATAAACACACCCATGCACACGACAGAGAAACATTGGAAACAACCACATGAAGCAACTTTCTGTTTCTGGTCTTTGGAGATTTTTGTGGACTGCAAAGTGCAGGATGATGTGCGTTTGTAACTCAAAGTGCATGTGGAAGACAAAACTTCACACAAATGTCCGTTCTTTGCGTCCCGACAGGTTTCTGTCTTTTCAGATCAACAAATCTGTTTTCATTTACGTTCTTTAAACTGTAGTACCACATATTCTGGCTTTTTACTTTCTTCATACTTAAAGATGTTGCACAGGCGGCAGATAAAAACCACAGGACAGGAAAAAACCAGTGATTCCACCAGTGATACTTTCAAGCCCATTGCAGGTTTGATTTTTATCCCCACTAGTCATTTTGGGCACCCAGAGCCCAGCCACTTATATGGTTCTTTATAGCCTGCAGGCTCTTTCTGGTGTGGGCCAGCCCACCTCCACTCCCGCCCAATACCCCCCCAGATCCCTGCCCCTTTGAGTGACCTGATTGGCCGAACGCTCCGTCCATCTCCCGCATCTCCTTGTTCATTTTGGCGATCCGCAGCCTGAAAAGGTAGAGCATCAGTTAGAGGAGTTGCTCTTGTCGAAATGTCACGTCAGAGGTTTCTCTCATGTCGAACACTCACAACGTGACGATGTCGGCGTTGGCGTTGTCCACGGCGATAGTTATTGGGTCTTTGTCGTTCTTGTCTTTGGCGTTGTAGTCCGCACCTCGCTTCAAGAAGAGACAAACCAGCCTGGAGAAAAGAAAAGAGATGCATCAAAAGAGTGGTAATCCCAACTTTTTGTAATTTCCCCAAAAAACTGCATCTTCAAACTTCAAACTTCCCGACTGGGTAGAAATACAAACAGAAATGTGCCAAAGCTCGTGTGGTTCTTTTACTTTCTGGACTTATTTGGTCAAAAAGGAGGAATCATCCTTCAGGACCACTCAAGTATCTCAGATACATTTGTCTCACTTAAACGTTCTTGCTCTGTTATGACAAATCATGTTTTAGACTTGTGCAACGCAGCGACGCCCTGCAATCAGACCGAGGAGATAAGAGCTGTGAAATGCTTTCTGTTTCCAAAACGTGTTCCAAACAAACTGTCACATTCATTCATGTCGCAATAATGTTGTCAGATAATCATGTGAGGTGTCTAAGTTCTAAAATATATACAAAAGTTAAGTGTTATATCAGCTTGTTTCACGTCACGTCATCTGGGCAGACAGGGTGAATCCATTTCACTCTGTTAATGGAATCGGGCAACGTGTCCGGAGGCTTAAATACATTTTGTGTGTGTTTTATTTTTCTGTGCTCGTATTTCTGCCTGAAGAACCAGTTAATACCTATTAATCACAAGATGAAAAAATGACGTGGTAATTTAGCAGTTGAGACTTTTTTGCAGCCTTAATTGCAATTTTGTCTCACAGATCAGTTCTGGGTTTTGAATTTCAGGTTGTTCTGTGTGAGGTTTGCATGTTCTCCCCATGTCTGCGTGGGTTTCCTCTGGTTTCTGTTGCTTCCAGAGTTCAGATTAGCTTAACTGAGAATCTAAATTGCCCATAAGTGTGAATATGAGCCTCTATAAGTCGGCTTTGCTAAAACGCTGAAGACGTGCAGTATGTGTGACAGCGTGCGTGTGTGTGTGAGTGCGTCGTACCCAGTGTGACCGAGGATGGTGGCGTGGTGCAGCGGTCCTCTCCCGTTGCTGTCGGCCTGGTTCACGTTGGCGCCGTTCTGCAGCAGGAACTCACAGGCAGCCAGGGCGTTCTGCTCCCAACACAACAACACGCTCTTATATGCAGTGAACGACAATCCCTTTACTTTCGCCTAAAGACTCAAATTATAAAACCCAGCTGGTGGCACCTAAAGGAAAACTCAAGACAGACCAAGGCTTTTTAAGTTGCATGAATGGGCTCAGATATTTTTAGTGCAAAGTGTATTTTGATTGGTGGGTGGTGCAACAGGAAAGCTATTAGAGGTTTGTCCCCCAGTCAAGAGCATGGATGTGTTCAACAGACCTCATGACATATCGCTTCGCTACATCTTTGATTTTGTCTTGTGTAATAGTGAGAGTCTAGGTCGAGTTAACCACGTGCACCTCGAACCTGTGGCACTTCCTGTCCTCTGAGTGTAAATATTATTGGGTGGATGTTTAACAGTGGTTTCCCTCACCGCAGAGACGGCCTGTATCAGTGGCGTGCTGGACTCCTCGGCCATGTTGACCCAGTTGACGTCGGCGCCGTGAGCCAGAGCGTCAGCCATGACGGGGAAGTTCTGCAGGGCCGCAGACCGGTACAGCAGCGCTCCGGGGTGAAGTCCGCTCAGATCCTCCTCTTCCTCGTCCATATCTGAGGGAGGCACGAGTTCATTTGTGTTGTTGTCAAAGGGGAGAGGACATTAAGACACATGAAAGCGTAGCTATGACGATGACTTGATTTAATACATTTAATGTGGTATGACACTTGTCCAGTCCATGTTAATCACACTGTGTATATCTGTGTGTGTGTGTGTGTGTGTGTGTGTGTGTTTTATCTTACTTTTGGGAGAGCTTGTATTATTCTTTTGGACAATGTCACTGGAGTTCAGCCCTGAGGAAAGACAGACAGTGTGTGTGTGTGTGTGTGTGAGAGAGAGAGAGAGAAAGAAAGGGATGAGAGAAGGCCATGA